TTAGACCAAAAATATATATATATATATATCTCTCTCTCTCTCTCTCTCTCTCTCTCTCTCTCTCTCTCTCTCTCTCTTGTTATTTTTTACACCTTTGCCTAGTTTCTCTTAGCTTTTGCACATCAACCCTTAACCAAATACTCTCACCTTTGGGCTGAGATTACTTGGAGCTTTGTTTGAGCTCTAAAAGGAGGTTTAAGCTTGGTTTGTTGCCTATTTTGTGTCTTAGCTTGAAGAGGTATAACACTTATTATTTAAGCTTGTTTTCAATATTGTTTTGCCATCTTTTTCTTCTATTTTTGGCCTAGTTTTCAACTGTAAAAATCTCTATTTTTATGACCTTAAAATGGTGGTTTGAGGCTATTATGAGTTAGGGGGTGGTCCGCCCTTCTTGTCTCTTAACTTGTTAAGCTCTTGTGCCATCTTTTCACCACTTTCAAATCAAACTTTTTGGACCTTTTAACGACTAAATCTTAGAGGTTTTTCAGTGGTAAAAACCAATTTTTGAAGTCCAAACTTGGAGGGGTTAGCCTCTCCTCCTTGTGTCTTGTTTGCATGCCTAGTTAGCTTCATAAGTTAGCTTGTTTTTCTAGCTTACTTTAGCTTAAGTCCAGCATGTTTTTGCCTCTTTTTTGACATGTTTTGGCTCTATTTTGGGCTGGTTAATTCAGTTGTATTGCCTAGTTGTAGTGTTATTTCCTTCATTAGCTTGATGTTTTAATGCTTTGATCATCATTGTTTTGAGTTAAAAACATGTTTTAGTGTTGTTTTGCACTCTGTTTCAGCATTGAAATCTCTACAATCTCTCTCCATTCTTCACTCTTTTATTTGCTTTGAAAATGGTTTCAAATCACTTGTTTGCCTAAGTGTGAAATTGAGGTGTTGCACCTAATGGTTTAATCCCTGAGGGAGTTCATTACCAACAGTGTAATGCCTCTTTCATGCCCAAAGTAACTTGTGATTTGAGCCATTTTTCCATTAGAGGACACTCACTTTTGGACATAATTGATTAAAGAATGAATTGGTAATGTAAAATGAGTAAACAAAAATTGGACAAGTAAAAGATGCAAGATAAGCATCTTTCATGTTGCATTGCATGTGTTCGAATCGGACGTTAATTCGAACACAAGGAAAATGGGACATTTCATACTCAAAGTGATGAAATGTGCCACTTTCCTTGGTCACCATCACCTTTGATCATGCATGATAGGGTAGTGGTCTTTTTGAGTCTTGTTTGCAGTTATTAAACTTGTACAAACTTGGTTCTTTGGCCATCATGCATGGAAATTGCTTGATTGGTGGTTTGAGAGCCTAGAGTTATACTTCTTTGAGTTGTTCGATGATAAGAAGGGTAACAATACAAATAACCCTTGAGAATACACTGCTTTTCCTCTGTTTTCTCTCTGTTGCAACAAAAAGGACGTTCAGGGCAGCAGTGGTCGACCGGCCCTCAGCAGTGGCCGACAACCACCAGTAGTAGCCGACCGGCCACTAATGGTAGCCGACCGGCCATCAATGAAATTTTGCACAGTGTGTTCCTGAGGTGGAGCAGAGGCATTTTGGGAGTTAGCAGCACTGCTGGTGTTCAAATGTGCAACCAGAGGCGTTCAGTGGCAAGGCAGTGGCTTTTTTGGGTGGAGAAACTGAGCATGCATGCATCCCTCGCTTTCCGAGGCCATTTAATTGCTTTGTTTAGTTAATTCATGGTAGCTAATTAATTAGTTTAATTTCTTTGTACTTAATTAGCTTAGTGTTTAGCTAATTGCTTCGATTTGTAATATTTAATTAGCTTAGAATAAGTTAGTTAAATTCGTTTCAATTGTTGTAATAATTAGATAGCTTTAATTAGCGTAGCTAGTTAGCTTATTCATTCGCACCCTCCTTCGCAAGGGCTTAATGTTGTAATAAGTGTGTGTGCATGTGTGTATGTCTTCCAACCTCACGTCTTTCTCCCTTTTATTTATTCACTTTTGATGGTTAGATTAGGGACTTTTTCAATTAGCATACCTTATACTTGCATGTTTACATCCATTCATTTGTCTTACATGCACCGGGGCTCGGCGCATCATTTAAACTGCATTGCAATTTTAATATAATTCTTTGAATACATGTTTATCGCATGTTGTTCAAATCGATTTATATGTCATATTAGTAGCCGAGGCTATTAAATTGCATTATTGCATGCGTTGCATTAGACACTTAACATAGTTAGGATCATGCATTTTTCTAACTAGTTTTTGTTTTGGCTTGGAGTACTCAGTGAGTTTTTATGCTTTAGCATTCTTGCATTTGTGTGATTGCCATGATGTCATGATTAGCATGCTTTCCATGAGGCTATGTGCTTAAATACTAAACTGCATGAATGCTTGTGGATGAAAGCTTGTTCTTTAAATTGGAACGATTCAACGAATGTGAGTTTTAAGCCCACTTTGAGTGGAAAATCATGTTTTAAGCCCACTATGTTTGGTGGCAAATCCGCATCTTCAAGCCCACTTGAGGTGACAAATCCAAACCATTTTCAAAAACAAACATGAGTTGAATTGTTCCAAGTCTTGCGACTAGCCTATACTTGCTTGTGCGCGTCACATAGTAAAGCTAGTTTAATAACCGAAATAAGAACACATAATGTTTATAAAATATCATATCATGATTAGTAGAGGCCGATCTTTGATCGGGCGAGCGGGGGTGCCCAATTCAGGACCTTCCTCTCTCGTACCCAAGTGCCCACGCCGAGGCAACTTTGGTGATGACGGACACTATAGACCACCCGGAACTCCGCTCCGCGTGCGAGGGCGCGAATCGTGTTCATAGCTACTACAGTTCGGACTCATGTCACGGTTCTGAATCTAATCCACAAAGTGCAATGTAAGACTGATAAATCACCAAAGAGTCCAAATCCAGCAAATTGTTTTGGAAAATCGATTTTAATCAAAAAGCGCCAAACATGGACTACTTTCCCAGATTTCAGAGTCGCCACCTAAATATTTTTTTTTTGGGAAATTTAAGAAACCCTGACTCGTGCCTAAGGCCACGTGTCTATCAACACCAAAGTTGCCTCGGTTCGGGAACATGGGTACGAGAGGGGAAAGTCATGCAATGAGCACCCCCGCTCGCCCAATCAAAGATTCGCCTTTACTAACATGATATGTTGCTTTTGAAAACACATGCATTCTTATTCCGGTTTATTAGCTAGCTTTACTATGTGATGCGCACAACATACAAGTATAAACTAAATCACTCAAGTTGGGACAAAAATCTCATGTTTGTTTGTTTGAAAATGGTTTGGAGTTGCTACTCTGTCACGTCCCAAGCTCCGTGACAACGCCGCACACTCATAGAAGTGAGCATGCAAGGCTAAGAATCCAATCACATAACCCATAATGTAAAATACTCAAATTAAATCCTTAATTGTCATAATGCCGAAATCCATAAAAATAAATAATTCTTATATGAAAATGTCCACCAAGTCCACTAATTTAATCCACTAACAAAACAATAATCCAAGTACTTAAATCATAGTCCTACTCTTGGCACTCCCATAAGTAAAAAAAAAACCCCGCGCAGCTTTATTTCTCAGAATCTAAAAAAAATAAAATAAGGGTAAGCTAGATAGCCCAGTAAATAACCAACCATCACTGCTAGCTGGATCAAGTATACAAAAAAAAAAAAAAAAAATAAATCGATAACCAATAAATATAATTTTTTCTATAATTCAATAAATGAACAATTATTTGTAAGATGGTTTCATAGCTAAAAAAATAAACGATGTACAATACATTTTAATTGAAAAGCCAATAAGATAATTCAAAGTAAATTCGTTATTCAAATCGATGGCTCGATATTCAGATGGTTCAATGATTTGATTCACAAAACCCAAGTCTTGGTGACTACGGTCACTTAGCCCGTGACAAGGCCCAGAACCACACATAGGCCGGTGGTAAAGCCCCAAAAGAAACTAGTTTCTGTGCCAATAAATAACCCCCATTGGCTAGGGTCCAAATCATAGTCAGACTAGAGTGATGTTCAAAATTCAAACAATACACAACTTTTAAATAAAACATTCGGTATTTTCATAATAAACGTTTAGTACAATTTTCAAAATACTTTCACCAAATATTCAAATAATTTTCATAATAATATTCGATGTTGTTTTATACTTGACCCATATTTTATTTTAAGAGAACATGAAGGCTATAAATAAATATTTATGATTTTAAACGATTTGATAGGAATAAAAATGAACCAACAGTGATAGAGGGTTACTTACACCAAACGCTTAGAAATAATATTCCAACACCAACTCCAAACACCCAGCTCCACCACTTCAATCACACAAACCTAATAAACAAAACCTCAAATAAATTAATATTTTTACGTGTTACATACACCCACAAAACCCCCACCATATTAGATTAATGTATTGCTTTAATATCCAAGTGATTAAACCATTCAACCCAACTTTATAACCAAACACACCCTTACCCATGATACAAAACTCCATTGTTTCTATTACCCACCCAAAGTTGCACTTACACATTGCACCCAATTCTCAAAACCTAGGTAGGCACCCATAGATCTTCAAAATCCCCTTAATGCATTGATTGTTAAATTCCTCAACATAAACTTACTAATTAACAGTAAAGACAGATTTTACCTTAACCAATAGTTGTCCCAAAATCACCAACGTGCTGCCTCCAATCCCTATTGCAGCCTCACTTGAACCTCTTTTCTCTTTTTCTTTTCTTTTTTTCTTCTATCTTCTCAAACCCTAGCCGCCTATGGAGCAATTCCCAACCTTTGTTTTGTTTGTTTTCCAAGACTTAAAGCCACAACTGGTGGGCTTATTAACCTAATTTCTCAAAGTTACAAAATTACCCATCTAAGTAATAGGAAATATAATGCCATCTAATAACTAAGTCTTTGATATTAATAAATGACCCATATAAATTAATTTAATTACTAATCTATCCAATAAAATAATCCTACACACAACTTGAGTTTTACATTCTTCCCCTCGTAAAAGAAATTTCGTCCTCAAAATTTGACATACTTGTAGTCTCAAAAAGTTGTGGATACTTTTGTCTCATTTCATCCTCAAGTTTCCAAGTAGCTTCCCTCTCCGAGTGATTGCTCCATTGAAGCTTAATGTAGTGGATGACTCGACGCCTCAAAACCTGCTCCTTCTTATCAACAATTCTTATAGGGTGTTCCTCATAGGTCAAATCCTCCTTAAACTGCAACGGTGCATGATCAATCACATGATTGGGATTCAGTATATACTTACTCAACATCGAAACATGGATGACATTATGAACTCCAACTAGTGGATGTGGTAGGGCAAGTCTGTACGCTACCTCTCCAATTCGATCTAAAACCTCAAATGGTTTAACAAATCTGGGACTCAATTTACCACGAACACCAAACCTCATTACTCTTTTCATAGGAGACACCTTAAGGAACACATGGTCTCCAACCCCAAACACCAAATCGTGTCTCCTGTTATCTGCATAACTTTTTTGTCTACTCTGTGCAGTGCAAAGTTGCTCTCTAATAAGATTGATCTTGTCCACTGTTTGTTGCACAATCTCAGGCCCTAACAACTTCTTTTCACCCACATCATCCCAACAAATAGGTGATCTACACTTTCGTCCATATAAAGCCTCATATGGTGCCATCTGAATGCTCGCATGATAACTATTATTATAAGAGAATTACACTAAGGCCAAATGCTCATCCCAAGAACCTCTAAGATCAATAATACAAGGCCTCAACATGTCTTCAAGTGTCTGAATAGTTCTCTCTGACTGTCCATCAGTTTGAGGATGAAAGGCCGTGCTAAAATTCAAACTAGTACCCAAAGCTGTATGCAACCTCCTCCAAAATATAGATACAAATCTGCTATCTCTATCAGACACTATGGTCACCGGAATACCATGCAACTTCACAATCTCCTTGATATACAATTTTGAAAACCTCTCTAAGGAGAACCCTACCTTAAAAGCTAGAAAGTGAGCGGATTTGGTCAATCGATCAACAATAACCCAAATAGCATTGTTACCACCTTAGGTCCTAGGCAACCCTGTCACAAAATCCATGGTAATATGTTCCCACTTCCACTCAGGAATAGGAACAGGTTGTAACTTACCTGCAGGTCTCTGATGTTCAACTTTCACCTATTGACATACCAAACGTTGAGCAACATACTGAGCAATTTCCCTCTTCATATTATTCCACCAAAAGTTCCTCTTCAAGTCTTTATACATTTTAGTGCTCCCTGGATGTACAGTATACCCTGAACTGTGAGCTTCTCTCAAGATTTCTCTCTTGAGCTCTAAATCATTGGGCACAAACAACCTCTCTCCAAATCTCAAGGTTCTATCTTTATGCATACAAAATTCCATCTGTAGCCCTATTTCCATTTCAGCTTTAAGTTTTTGAAACTGAGGATCTCTTCCTTGAGCATCTTTAATTCTATCAATCAATGTGGGCTGAACCCTAAGGTTTGCCAATTGCACTCCATGGTTATGCCATCTAATCTCAATATTCAACCTTTGCAAGTCCTCCAAGATATTCTTTTGGTCAGTGATCAAGGTAGCCAAATTACTCGAGGTCTTTCTACTCAAGGCATCCGCCATTGCATTGGCTTTTCCTGGATGATAATTGATAGTCAAATCATAGTCCTCTAATAGCTCCAACCATCGCCTTTGCCTCATATTCAATTCTTTTTGAGTGAAAATATACTTCAAACTTTTATGATCAGTGAATATTTCACATTTCACCCCATACAAGTAGTGCCTCCAGATTTTCAATGCAAACACCACGGCAGCCAACTCCAAATCATGCGTAGGATAATTCTGCTCATATGGCTTCAACTGCCTAGACGCATATGCCACTACCTTATCATTCTACATCAGGACACAACCCAAGCCCATCTTTAATGCATCACTATAGATAGTAAAACCTTCATCTCCGGACGGAACTATAAGTACTGGAGCACACACCAATCGACTCTTTAAATCTTGGAAACTCTTCTCACAATCATCAGACCACTCAAATTTAACCCCTTTTTGTGTTAAACGAGTCAAAGGCATAGAAATTTGGGAAAATCCCTCAACAAACCTTCTATAATAACCTGCTAAACCCAAGAAGCTACGAATTTCAGTGACACTAGTAGGCCTATTCCACTCTACCACCGCCTCCACTTTCTTGGGGTCAACAGACACCCCATCTCTAGATATCACATGACCCAAAAATAATACACTCTCCAGCCAAAATTCACACTTCTCTAATTTAGCAAATAACTTCTTCTCCCTTAATATCTGCAACACTATTCTCAGATGTTCTTTGTGCTGCTCTTTACTCTTCGAGCACACAAAAATGTCATCAATAAAAACTACCATAAACTGATCTAAGAAGGGTTTAAATACTCTGTTCATTAAATCCATATAAGCTGCAGAAGCATTGGTCAACCCAAACGGCATCACTAAAAATTCATAATGCCCATATCTAGCTCGGAAGGCTGTCTTAGGTATATCTTCCGCCTTAACCTTCAACTGATGATAGCCAGAACGAAGGTCAATCTTAGAAAATACTTGTGCTCCTTGCAACCAATCAAATAGGTCATCTATCCTAGGCAAAGGATATTTATTTCGGATTGTCACCTTGTTTAACTCTCGATAATCAATGCAAAGGCGAAAACTACCATCCTTCTTTTTCACAAATAAAACGGGCGCACCCCAAGGAGAAACACTAGGCCTAATAAAGCCCTTATCTAGTAACTCTTGTAATTGTTCATTCAACTCTTTTAACTCTGCTAGGGCCATCCGATCTGGTATCAATTCGATGGCAAACTCAATCTCTCTATTTGGTGGCAACCCCGGTAAGTCGTTAGGAAAAACATCAGGAAATTCATTTACAACTAGAATATCCTCTAACTTCAATTCAGTCTCACGAATATCTCTCACAAAAGCTAAATAACCCTCGCAACCATTCCTCAACAATCATCTAGCTTACAAAGCTGAGATTACCAAAGGAGGAGTGTTAACTCCACTACCCACAAAACAAAATTCTGGTTGATCAGGAATCTGAAATACTACCCTTTTGCCTCGGCAATCAACAGAAGCATAATTGGTAGCCAACCAATCCATTCCAAGAATTATGTCAAAGTCCCGCATATCTAAAACAGTCAAGTCTACAAGCAATCTCCTGCCATCTATACTAACCACATGAGATTTGCCAATGGCTCCTCATGTTCCATCACAACCTATATGCATCAATAATAAAACCTCATCTTATTCTATTCTCAAGTCCCAATAACATGTAACTAAAGTTAACATTTTTTTTTGGGGGGGGGGGTAAGTAATTAAAATTAACATTATACTAAATTATAAGCGTTCCCAATCCTACATCTACCCAATCTCACTACTATTCTATACCAGCCTTTAAAATTATAACTTGGCTTTGATACCACAAAGTTGTCACGCCCCAAGCTCCGTGACAACGCTGCACACTCATATAAGTGAGCATGCAAGGCTAAGAATCCAATCACATAACCCACAATGTAAAATACTCAAATTAAATCCTTAATTGTCATAATGCCAAAATCCATAAAAATAAATAGTTCTCATATGAAAATGCCCACCAAATCCACTAATTTAATCCACTAACAAAACAATAATCCAAGTACTTAAATCATAGTCCTACTCTCGGCACTCCCACATGTAAAAATCCCGCGCAGCTCTACTCTTCAGAATCTAAAAAAAATATAAGGGTAAGCTAGATAGCCCAGTAAATAACCAACCATCACTGCTAGCTGGATCAAGTATACAAAAAATAAATACATAAATAGTCGATATCCAATAAATATAATTTTTGCTATAATTCAATAAATGAACAATTATTTGTAAGATGGTTTCATAGCTAAAAAGATAAACGATGTACAATACATTTTAATTGAAAAGCCAACAAGATAATTCAAAGTAAATTCGTTATTCAAATCGATGGTTTGATATTCAGATGGTTCAATGATTTGATTCACAAAACCCAAGTCTTGGTGACTACGGTCATTTAGCCCGTGATAAGGCCCAAAACCACACATAGGCCGATGGTAAAGCCCCAAAAGAAACTAGTTTCTGTGCCAATAAATAACCCCCATTGGCTAGGGTCCAAATTATAGTCAGACTAGAGTGATGTTCAAAATTCAAACAATACACAACTTTTAAATAAAATATTCGATATTTTCAGAATAAACGTTTAGTACAATTTTCAGAATACTTTCACCAAATATTCAAATAATTTTCATAATAATATTCGATGTTGTTTTATACTTGACCCATATTTTATTTTAAGAGAACATGAAGGCTATAAATAAATATTTATGATTTTAAACGATTCGATAGGAATAAAAATGAAACCAACAGTGATAGAGGGTTACTTACACCAAACGCTTAGAAATAATATTTCAACACCAACTCCAAACACCCAGCTCCACCACTTCAATCACACAAACTTAATAAACAAAACCTCAAATAAATTAATATTTTTACGTGTTACATACACCCACAAAACCCCCACCATATTAGATTAATGTATTGCTTTAATATCCAAGTGATTAAACCATTCAACCCAACTTTATAACCAAACACACCCTTACCCATGATACAAAATTCCATTGTTTCTATTACCCACCCAAAGTTACACTTACACATTGCACCCAATTCTCAAAACCTAAGTAGGCACCTATAGATCTTCAAAATCCCCTTAATGCATTGATTGTTAAATTCCTCAACATAAACTTACTAATTAACAGTAAAGATAGATTTTACCTTAACCAATAGGTGTCCCAAAATCACCAACGTGCTGCCTCCAATCCCTATTCCAGCCTCACTTGAACCTCTTTTCTCTTTTTCTTTCCTTTTTTTCTTCTACGTTCTCAAACCCTAGCCACCTATGGAGCAATTCCCAACCTTTGTTTTGTTTGTTTTCCAAGACTTAAAGCCACAACTGGTGGGCTTATTAACCTAATTTCTCAAAGTTACAAAATTACCCATCTAAGTAATAGGAAATATAATGCCATCTCATAACTAAGTCTTTGATATTAATAAATGACCCATATAAATTAATTTAATTACTAATCTATCCAATAAAATAATCCTACACACAACTTGGGTTTTACATACTCGCAAGTAGGCTAAGACGCGGATTTGCCACCCTCAAGTGGGCTTAGAAAAACATGATTTTGCCACTCTGCAAAGTTGGCTTAAAAACTCGCATTTGATGAATTGTCCCAATTCAGGCAATCAAGCCTCCATCCACTGGCATTCATTCAGTTATATCAATTAAACAAATAGCCTCATGGCAAGCATGTTACCATGGCAGTTCACTTACACACATGCAAGGATGCTAAAGCGTAACAGCTTACCTAGTACTCTGAGCCAAAACAAAAACTATGTTAGAAACCAATGCATGACCCTAGCTATGTCAAGAATGCCTAATGCAACACATGCAAAATGCAACTAAGATAGGCTCGGCTATTCTAAGATGTCATATGAATGCAACTTAATAACATGTATTCAAATTGGTATTGAAACACAATGCAGTTTGTATGATGAGCCGAGCCCGGTGCATGCAAAACAGATGAATGATGCACGCATGCAAAGCATAAGGTATGCTAATTGAAAAATGCCCTAAAACTAACCATCAAAAGCTGATAAGTAAAAGGGAGAAAGAAATGGGGATTGGAAGACATGCATCACACACACGCACACTTATTACAACAGTTGTGCCCTCTTGATGGAGGGTTCGAATAATAAGTAAGCTAGCTAATCTAAGCTAATTAAACTAATTATTACAAACAAAACTAATTAACTACTCCTAGTTAACTAATTATTACAAAACGAAGCTAATTAACTAACGAGTCAACTAACTAGTTATTACAAACACAAATGAATAGTTAAGCGTATTAAATACATAAGTACAAAAACCAATGCATTAGCTAGCTTAAGCAAAGCAACTAAGTAAAGCAATTAGAAAAGGGCCTCGGAGCGAGAAACGCATGCATGCTCAGTCGCCTCACTCCGAAATCCATCGCGATGCCCCAACTTCCCTCTATTTTCAATTGTTCTCAGAACACTGTACAAAGCTCCAGATAGCTTTTGCTCCACCATGGGAACCTCCAGGAGCGCTGCCGACCACTTGTTGATGTTGCCGACCACCTGTCGACCACTTACCATTGCTGCAGACCAGAAAAAGTGGTCGGCCAGCCACTTTTACTGGTCTGCCGACCAGAAAATGTTGGACTTCTCCAGTTTGCTGCAACAGAGAACAAGAAGGGGCATGGTAATGTATTTGCAAGATATGCGTGCACAATCACCCTCCCTATCATTTCATGATCTCAAGGGAGTGCGGTTCTCGACTCTCGGGCCACCAACTGAGCATCGCAATGCACGATGGCCGAGATGCCAAGATTGCACAATTCAATGTAAATGAATGCACAAATAACACATAAAGCCTTAACCTCTATCATGCATGATCAAGAGGGTCGGCGACCGAGAAATGAGGCACGTTTCATCACTTCAAGTATGAAACATCCCTCGTTTCTCGTGTTTGGACTAACACCCTATCCAAACACAATGCAACACAAGCATGCTGTAGACACCCCATTTTTGACCGTCCTCAAGACTTGGACGTCACCGTTTGAACACTCGGTGATCAT